CAGCTCGACAGTTGTGTAAGATAATTCAATTACTGTCATTGTTTCAGTTGTGCTCTGGAAACTACAGGTGAAGAAAGACAGGTCACATTTTAATGGCCCCCGCTTATTAACTCATTGACTGGCAGCCATTTTCAGAACAGAGAGTCCCATACTGCCAGAGGTTTTTGAGCATTTTGACTGATTTTTCAAGAGCCACAGAATAGTTTGTGCTATGACTATGTAAACACCGAACACACCAAAAGAAAGAGTAGACTCTCTTCTTTCATCAGGAAAAAAATAGTTTCTACCTTATTCCGTTCTTCCTGGACTTTCGTCTCACCGGCGACATGTTCTCTCATAGCTAACCGTTACCTTTTTCTTATTTGCCTACAGTCTATGCTCATCTCCCATCAAAAGTGGCACTGCCCCCTAGAGGGTCAATTTGTTACTACATACTCTGTCTAGAAGCCTGATATTTACGGACAAGCTTTAGCAGATCGTCCCCCAGCGGCTCTCGTTGAAAAACATAGAAGACGTCTATAGTCGTCTTTGGCAGTCAACGGTTGTATTTGAATTGACGTCTATAGACGTCTTTGGCAGCCAATGAGTTAAATGTTTAGATGAAGGTTTAGACCATTCACACTTCCTGATTGAGTTTAGATTTGTTTTACTCAGCTGTCCAGTACTGGTGTAGTACTGGTGTTTCAGTCTGTGGTCGGTTCTCACTTTGGATACAGATCTGGTTTGCTAACATAATAACACTTATTTTTCTGCCCCGTTAGAAACTGAAGGACGTGGAGTCCATCATTAGGATCGTGGAGCTGAACGGAGAGGACTTGGTGAAGGACTACTCCGACGAAATTGAGCGAATGTTGGGCAGCAAGATGAAATCTGTGAAGGTAAGAACCAAAAACACCGTATAGATCTGGCCCTTGAAGCATCTTAACGGAAAGACCATGTCAAATAACACGCTGAGGTGCAGACCTCACATCTGGAGTGCCCAAAATCTCTGTAACAACTGAAAATAAGTCATTACCTAACACTCACTTTGAGGGTTTGCCAAAGGGAGCTCTGATCAATACCAGGCTGAATTAGAAATGTAACCCCCAATCAATCGATAGGCAAACTAGTAACTAACTTTACTGAGTTGTGTCCTCTGTTACCTACCTGCTAATGTGGTAATGAGGTTGCCTTTTAGTTGTTTTTTTTTTGCTGTGAAGTTGGTCATCAAAAGTGATGGAGATGGAAATATGTGGGAAGTTTTAAGCAAAAATGTACTCGCTGGAAAAGTCATTCTAAAACATTCACAAACGAATAGTTTTGTATTCTATTTGGAAACATTGCACAAACTGGTAATTACCGTATTTGATTTTTGTCCAGTAGAAACATGATGTCCAGTGACATGTTTTTTGTCCTTTGTTTTTCAAATAATTCTAATTTTTCTTTTTTTATGAGCAATTTCAGGTATTTTTGTATGCAATCCATACTGTGTGCTAATTTTTTACCAATGTATTTACGCCAAAAAGACAAATGCATACTAAAGAAGACTTCTCAATAAATAGATAAAAACACCTACATAAAATCCCAGTGCGTTCCTTCAAGGAACATCATCTGGAGCTGTTTATCAGAAATACTTAAATAATCCCGGAGGGAAATTATTTAATCGTGAATTGTTTTTTAAAAAGTCTGATTGTAAATTGCTCCGGATAAGTGTCTACTAAATGCGTGAACATACAGTAAATGTAAATTCAGGTTATCAGTGGCAGAATAGAGTTAAGGTAAATGCCAATAGATGCACTTTATTTACAGACCTATTCAAATAAAAAACATGGGCTTTCTAATTTCAGAGACATCGACTAAATTCGAAGAAATTTCGAAGCGCTGTCAGATTTATTGTTTACATCTTGAAAATCACGTGGTAGTAATCCACCAAAAGAAAGAATATTTACACCAAAACCCATAATAATAATGAGAGTATATGGGAAAAACATCCAGATTGATGATGTGAAAGGCAAAATAAAACCAGATTCCACATGGAGGCAGGAAGGTAGTAACCAAACCAAGCATGGATCGATATTTTCCAGTGTGTTTAATCCCAATTTTAAGATTTTCTCATTACAAACGCTTACCAAAAGTCACCCTTGTTGAATTTACCATTCGCATACAGACCCCCCAAGATGGTCCTAAAGCAGAAGCAAGTTCAACACAGTCGGGTGCTCTTTGCTTTAGCTAGCTTGACAAAAACTAATCCTCTGATAAGAGGCAGCTCCGGGCTGGGATTATGTGATAATGCACAGGTCCTGCTGGGCCCTTTTCTGTGTGGAGCCGCATAGTGCCTTCGAGTCTTTAGAGTGAGGTACATCTCATTGGAGATCCCTTCAGGCTGCTGTGGAAAAGTAGATATTTTATGACACGGCAGAAAATCTGCATCACTTCTTGATAACGCTGCCCAAAAAACGATCCGTTCATTCATTGGTTGGTTTAGTTTGAAAGGTTCAATAGTGGAAGTTTGTCCCAGAATAACATGGTGATGTGTTTATGTTGGTTATTAAAATGTGAGAGATTTTCTCAGTATCTGAATTTGGTAGTAACTTGGTTCCTAAAAAATGGACGGTTAAGCGTCGGTCAGTTGGTCCAGCATCTGTTAAATCCATCCATCCATTTTCTATATCATAAATCTACAAAGTATTTAACTTAATGCATAGTGGTGGGAGCCTATACCAGCTTACCATTAGATGAGAGGTAGGGTAGACCCTGGACTGGTCCACCACAGACACAAATACCCATGTTCACTCCTAAAATCAAATCAGTCTCAAATTAATCATGAAATATTGATGTTTTATAAGGAGTTAAGAGGCCATAGGACCCCCTGTATACACTCCAAACATGCTTACACCACACAATAAGGGCCCAATGCCAGAATCTGAACCAGGAAGCTAAACACCACACCTGTGGAGATAGATAGATAGATAGATAGATAGATAGATAGATAGATAGATAGATAGATAGATAGATAGATAGATACTTTATTGATCCCCAAGGGGAAATTCAAGACCATGTGGCATCAGCTACCAGTAGCCATCTTGAGTTTTAACTGGGATGGAAGATGGAAATTAGACAAACGCTCACAAACGGAAAGGGATTGTTGTTTATCACTCTGCACACGGTCTATAAAGTTTGTGTATCATCTGTCTCAAACTGTGTTTCCAGTGTTTGAGTAATCAGTTTTTCTTGTTTCTTTTTTCTTGCGTCAGAGGTTGGCAGAATCTGCCGAAGACGCTGATCTGTACCATGAATACAACGTTTCGCTAGAGGTCAGTGGCTGCCTTATTTTAATTCAGTGGTCATTTTGACATTTACACACTATTTGTTGGTCTGAGTTGTACTTTTGTACTCTGGGCTGTGCGGTGGATGAAAACTAGCATGTCTCTTGTGTGGGAATCACAGCTAACGACGGCTAGTTTACAGGTGACACTGTAACAGGTCGGGGCTTTACAGCTTAAACTGACTCCTGAAATTAGATTAAACCAGGCTTCCTTTACCCTGTGAGGGAAACTCGGTCAACACCAAAGAAAGACCTCAAACAAAGATTTACAAAGTACAATTCTCTGGCATGAGCTGTTAAATTCTGATAAAAGGAGCTTAAAGATAAGAATACACGATTAAAAGTATTAGGCACAAGTATTCACAATCCTGAATTCTTCACATCTCAAATGGAGGTCTTTTTTATTTGTCATATGTATGTCTATGTTCAGTCTATATATATATATATATATATATTTTTTTTTAAATATGCCATTGAATTGTAATTAGCAAGTACTGTGAAATAAAAAAATGTTGACGTACTCATTCATTCATAAGACACAGAACTGTTGGGCTGAATAAATCTGAAAAGCTTTTGTCAGAAATCACTTCTTCAGAAAATAATGGCTAATAAGTTGAAATAAGTTAAAGGTAATCTAATGGTCATCTAATAAAAAAAAGCTTCTTAGACAGTGCTCACCAACATTTCCTTGGGAAATCCCTACAAAGATCAGATCTAAGGCTATGTTTTACTAAACTTCAGCCATTCAAAATTAAAAAAAACTTGTTAATTCCACTGTTACACATGTAATCAAAGCCAACCAGGAGAGTACACACTCAGATAGGTTTTCTTTTTGTGTGCTTTCAGGACTTTAATGTAGAATTTTTTTTTAAAATAACATTTTGCCTCCTCATGGGCTGGAAAGTGCTTTTAAGATAAAATGATAGAATATAGGTCTACAATCCATTGATTTCCACATGCTTTGTCCGTCAGTTCGATTACTACAACTCCATGATGATCAACACGGTGGATGAAGACGGGAACTACGTGGAACTGGGTGGAGAGTTTCTCCTGGAGGAGAACGAACATTTCAACAACATGCCGGTGAACATGCAGCTGAGCAACATCCAGGTTCCGACCAACGTCTACAACAAAGGTGAGAGGCGCCTTCAGCCCGACGCGGGTTTGCCATTTTTCTAGTTCTCCAACTAGATCTGAGTCGGGTCGTTTTCAGATCCGAACATCCTCAACGCCATCTACAACTCCGAGTCGTTAAACGACGTCTACATCAGTAACTTCCAGAAGGATCCCACCCTCACCTGGCAGTATTTTGGAAGCTCCTTTGGGTTCTTCAGGCTGTACCCTGGTAAGTTTATTTCACCATCACGGTACAGCTTTGCAGCTTTTTCAGTTTACCTTTGCTCAGTTTTGATACAGCAAATAACATACCAGAGTAAATTGGTTCAAAGAAACTGAATAGATCAGTTTATGACATTGTAATAGTGTAAAACCGTAATCTTATCTAAACATTAACCCTTTGAACCCAGTCTGCCAAATGCATGAACATAAACATTAAAGCCTGATCCAAGAATAAAACAAAACAGAAAATTACTTTTGCTTGGTTTGAATTCCTTATTTGTCCTTTTAACAAAATATGTAAAAACAAAAAACAGAAATACTTTTTTAATATTAATAATCTATTCCTATGCGATAAATCAAGATTGTTTTTTGTGTAGTCTTCTGCCCCCTGTTATCAGGTGTATCTGATTATGTACAATAGGATTTTGAACTAAGTTTTTACCATTAAATTAAGCAAAAGGTGTCAGACGCAAAACATTTCAGAAACCGTATGAATCAAATATGATACATTTGGCATTATAGGGTTAATAAGTTATTTAAAACATGTGTCATTACATCTGGACTCCAATCCTCTCAGTTGTTCTTTAGTTTGAAAAAGTTCTGTTCATATGTCATGAAAACATGTATTGACAAACCTCAAATGGATCCATGTTTTCATTAATTGTTGTCTGAAATTTCTGTTATCTGTAAGGTATAAAATGGACTCCAGACTCAAATGGTGTGGCCGCCTTCGACTGCAGGAACAGAAACTGGTGAGTCTGGCCCACAAACGTCACATCGCTCAAAAAAAAAAAAAAAAAAGTTTGTTGGTATTTTATTTGTGCCTTCTGAAATGAGTATAAAAATAGTATCTGATTCAGTGTCTTATAACCATGATCCAATAGAACCTACTTCATTCACACGGACATAGCACCAGAGCTAATCTCATCTCTATATGAGTATTAGTACCCTAACTTAAATATCATGGGGAATCTGATCAATTCTAAGGATAACGTTCTGCTACCTGAACCCAGACTGGTTCCACAGAAGGGGGGTTTTTCTTCGTGATACCCAGACTAGTTCCACAGAGAGGGGTTTGATACCTGTAGTCTCTGCCTCCAATTCTGCTAATTAGACAAGTTAAAACTGAAAAAATATGATATGAGAAACAGAATTCCAATAACATCTCGTTCTTTTACGGTTGAGCACTTTGCTTCGAGACCTTGCTGTTAGCTTGCCCGCTCGATCTATGATTCCTTTACATAAATTAGTGCGTTCCAAAAGGCGAGAAAATCCTCGAGTAAAGCCGAGTCGTGGTCAGTCTTTGGCCGGTCTACCTGTCTGTGTGTCAGCTGATTAGCAGCCAGCCAGAGTCCTGATCCCCCGTTAAAGACGATAAGCCGTTCCTCAGCCGGGTCAGTGCTTCCACATGGCCCCATATGCGACCGCTTATGCGTTTCAAAATGATACCGGAGGAGACCAGATGCTCTGGCTCAAGGGCTGAGAATTGCTGCCTGCCAATCAATGGGTCACTGGTTTGGTTTTACCCCAAACTACATGTTAAGGTGTCTTTGGGCAATACATTGAACCCTTAGTTACCTGTAATGCACAATCAAGTAGGACATGGCGTCTCAAGCCCAGTTAAATCCAAGGCTTGCATAGGGAACAGCATCCGGTATCCCAACTCCTGCCAAAAGCTGCCATGCAAGTCGGCCATTTCTGGGTTGTTTCTGTTTCTCTGTACAACTGTCGGTATTCACGTGGATGCTCACTCTTTCACTGCCTTTGTGCAGGTACATCCAAGCAGCCACTTCTCCAAAGGACATCATCATCATGGTGGACATAAGCGGCAGCATGAAGGGGCTAAAGATGACCATTGCCAAGCACACCATCAACACCATCCTGGACACGCTGGGAGAAAACGACTTTGTCAACGTCATTGCTGTAAGAGACGGTCCATAAAAGGCTTTTGATCCGATCAAGTTTTTCATAAAACTGCAAATTACATATGCAACTGATAGTCTATATTTTATACATGGAGCTTTTGTCGGTTGTCATAGAATCTTTATGGATTTTTATTTCTGAATTTTTTTACAATTTAAAGTAGCTTTTGTTTGTTTAGAAGAACAATTTTGGTTGTGCATGCCCTTGTAATGGACTTTACATGTAATCTGACTTCCCTGTTAAAAAAAAAAACCAAAAACTGGATGTTAGGTTAAGTGAGGTCCCCTAAATTTGGGCCTAGCACATTCCTGTTTGGCCCTATGATGGAATGGCTTCCTTTCCAGGGTTTTTCTTATCCTCTCACCCAAGGATAGCTTGGACATGCTGCAGCACATTTCATTAACCCTTTAATGCCTTATGTATCATATTTGATACGTACGGTTTATGAGGTCTTTTGCATCCGAAACCTTTTGCATCATTTAATGGTAAAAAAACATTGCTCAGATCATATATACCTGACAAAGGTGGGAAGAAGACGATAATATTTTTTACTTATTGCACGGTAATAAACTATGAATATTTAAAAAATCAGTTTATTTTGTTTTTCTCATTTTGTTAAAGGGCTATATAAAAACTTCAAATAAAAAAAGGGTTAAGTAGGTATAACAGATTAATGTAATAATATTTTTGCCTTTATCAATACCTCAGTCATTTAAATTTAGGGCATTGTTGGGCAAAATTGACCAAACTTTGGTACTAATACTGTGGCAATACCTCAAGGCAGTAGGGAAAATTTTGGTAGTGGTATTTGTCCGACTACACACATGTCCGGTTACTCCATATAGAGCCGAGTTCACCTATCTGGATTTTCACATTGACCTGGAGTTTCTATTCCTGACCATTTTCATACAAAATACCACAAACCACTCAGTGTTTTGTGAAGTTTGAACAAGTGACTATTTTTTTCTCATGAAGCTTTGCATGATGATGAATTTTTGCCCTTGCCATGCTGTCCGTAGTACACCGACTACGTTCGCTATGTGGAGCCATGCTTCCGGGGAACTCTGGTCCAGGCGGACTTGGACAACAGAGAGGTAAGACTATTAACTGCTTCATGGCGGCTTAAAGAACCGGGGAAGTCATCTTAGGTCTCCTTATATATGCAAACGCACACACACACACACACACACACACTGGGCGGACACCCTCAAAGACATCATTAGATCAACTACTTGGCCTAGTTTAAGTTTACATCAGAAGCTGTGTCAACTCAAGTTAACCTGTTGTAACCTGATATGGCGAGGACATTCCTCTCTTTATCCGGGCAGAAGAATAAAGCCTGAACATAGAAATGTGCTCCTCATACTATCATGCTAATTGGACTTCTTTGGCAGAAATTCCTTCTCAATCATTTTAGGCCCAGTCCACTTTATATATATATATACAGTGGGGGAAATGAGTATTTGACCCCTTGCTGATTTTGCAGGTTTTCCCACTTACAAAGAATGCAATGATCTATAACTTTAATCATATGTACATTCTAACAGTGAAAGACAGAATCCCAAAGAAAATTCCAGAAAATCACATCATATGAATTTATAAAAGTCGATAACCATCTGATGAGGAAAAATAAGCATTCTTTGTAAGTGGGCAAACCTGCAAAATCAGCAAGGGGTCAAATACTTATTTCCCCCACTGTATATATATGTGAAATGTTGTAAAAACTGTTTTCATTATGATCAATAAGGAATTAAAGCCGTAACAAAAAAATTCTTTTTGTCTCTCAGCACTTCAAGCTGTTGGTGGATGAGCTCCATGTTAAAGGAGAAGCGAAAATCAAAAATGCCATGAAAGAGGCCTTCAAGATCTTAAATGAGGTTTGTGTACCCTTTTGGCCTTTTTTAAACGACTTTTGAAGAGCGTCTTGGAAATGCTCATCTGCATGTTGGCTGTTTGTGTGTGTTTGTGTTTTTGTGTTCTCGTCCAGGCGAGGGTGAATGGTCAGGGCAGCATGTGTAACCAGGCCATCATGCTGATCACAGATGGAGCCATGGAGGACTTTGAGTCTGTTTTTGAGGAGTTCAACTGGCCTGAGCGAAGGGTAAGAACCCAGGCTGAAGCAGGTTAAACTAGTGGTTGATTAACAACTTTTAGTCTATATATACAAGTACATGCATGCATGCTTTAGGGAGCCATATCTGTTCAATCAAAATCAGACTTATATGCCACCATGATACCCATAAAACACATAATTTCAGCCTCTTATTTCTTGCAACTCTTTCAAATTTCACCAGTTTTGCACACTTTTAGCAAAGAACAGCGTTCAGCTTTTAAACACGGTTCAAGACATTGAACTAAATATGCTTTTGTTCTTAAAGTGTTAAAGTTTCAAAACCATTTAAAGTTTAGGTCATTTCTGAGTTTGAAAGGGACTCTTACGCCACCAGACTGTGTGGAGAAAAATGCTGAGAGATTCTTCAGAAAAGAAGTTGGTAATCTCTCACTGTATCCACAATCTTTAACCCACAGAAATAACTATACCGGCAAAACACCAGAAAGCCAGAAAGTTTTTTTTCTATCATTCAGAAGGAAACCCTTCAACTGTTCTAATAGAAAACAATGTAAATGAGGGAGAGAACCGATACCCAAACCTAAAAAGACAGCTCTGTTATACCTGCTCTAATTTCCTGAATTCTGGCTTTAGTAAAACAAATGAGATCCCAATCTGATCAGCAAAGTTCCAAACTATTGTCCGTCTGCCTTCCAGTTATTTCAGCTTTTATCTGAATGAGTTTGTTGGACTCTACGGGTCTTTTCATTCATCAGATCAGTGTTTTAGCTGTTCCAAAGGAACAGGTTTTTTACAAGTTTCTAGCTATAAAGAAGACTATGCGGCCAGGTTGAGAAGATCAAACTTAATTTTCCAGGTTTGTACTGGGAAGCTCTCTCAATGGCGTTTTCATGGATCTGATGTACAACTGGTGCATTTTGGTCTAAAGATCTAAAGACCGAAACGGTTCTGTAAGATACAAATCTGAATAAATGGGTGGATGTCTCCGTCCAGGTGCGAGTCTTTACCTACCTGATTGGCCGAGAGATGACTTTTGCCCAGAACACCAAGTGGATAGCCTGTAACAACAAAGGTCAGTGCTTTATCCACGAGCAGATTGATGTCCACTGCCTGCATACACTCGTATTAAACATGTATATGTGCTTTTTTCAGGTTATTACACACATATTTCAACACTGGCTGATGTTCAGGAGAACGTCATGGAGTATTTGCACGTCCTCAGCCGGCCGATGGTCATCAACCATGACCACGACATCATCTGGACCGAAGCCTACATGGACACTGTGGTGAGGAAGAAAGGGCTGGTCAGGAGATTAAGAAAGCAAATGACCAGGAACATTACATTTCTTTGCATCGGTTCTTTTTACGAAACACCTTTTTGTGGTGACCTTTTCCTAAGCATTCTGTTCAGTGGTCATCATTTTCATCTCACCCTCATCTGTCTGTTTCCTCGTATATTTGGACTCATTCTCCCATGATCCTCTTGGCCCTGCTTTCCCTCATTCTGGCAGCTGCCCAACACAAAAGAGGTAAAGCAACAGGAAATTGATTAATAGCAGTTTTAGGTAAATAGTTAGTTCCGTATTGGATTATTTCTCGTTTGTGTACATCACCCGTTTTTTTTTTTTCCTCATTGTTTGATCACAGCATAGTATTTGGGTTTCTCCTTAATGAGTTCACGCCAGGCTATTGAGCAGGTTTAATTCTGAAAGCACTCCAGTAATGGTCCTGTGGCTGATTTTTTATTTATTTATTTTTTTAATGAATTCTGGGCCACCTGTAGGCCTGCACCACCACCTGCAGTCTGACCACAAAACTGTACTCTGTTGAAGATACAAATCCAAATCGAGGGACACAATTTGAAAAATGTAAATAACCGGTAATTAAATAATTAAAAAAGTGTACAAACACATAACCAATATTAACATTAAAGTATCTTAAGAAACTCCTTAGCACTTTCCAACTAGAGAGACATTATTAGGTTTACCTCCAAAGCAAGCCAGTGCTTGTAACAGTGGATTGTGATATTTTATTATTATTATTTTTCATTTGAGGTATAATTACACAGTGTGCTAAATATTCTGTTGTTGTTTTTTTAGCTCTTCACCACCAAGGCTCAGAGTCTCCTGCTGATGACGTCCGTGGCCATGCCCGTCTTCAGCAAGAAGAAGGAGACGGTACGAGATCATTAATATATTCATTAGTCATTTAAGAGCACTGTAAAAGTTGTTTAAATAACTGGGAATCTGAACATGTCATGTAGTTGGCTAAATAGAAAAGTTCAAAGTGTTTTATGGAAAGTCTAAAAAGCTTTAATGGCAAAAAATGTTGGACTCAGACACTTATATGAAAATAAGAAACAGAACAAATAAATAAATCAATATAATTCAATAAATAAATATAATTCATACCATATTAAAATAACTGCTTAAGAAGTGTATAGCTAAAATGACCTAAAAATACCATTTGATACGTAAATGTTGGAAGCCCAGTATAACTGGCATTAGCCACATTTGTAAAAGAAAACATTAATGAGAAATAAACGCATAATTAAAAAAGACAACAACACATATACGTTATGTCTATAAATAAAAAGTGTTTTCACATATCACAAGATGAAATAAATTGACGGGTTTTTCCAGTTTTTACCTTGTAATTAGGGATGAGCCACTGTATAGCAACAGACGGGGAATCCAGAAACTAATCCGTTAGTGTCAAGACAGCACGTGTTAATAATGAAATATTCAGTTTAAATGTCAAAACCCGTTTGACAAAGTCCCCTTTTTGCAGCTTTCTCATGGAATCCTGCTGGGTGTGGTGGGGACGGACATTCCCCTCATGGAGGTGATGAAGCTGGCCCCCAGATACATGGTGAGCCCTTCGTTCTGGCCTCGGTTTAATCTTCCAAAATGGTTCCAAAATGAGACGCAAATTTATGCATAGAATAAATTAAACAACGCATTCTGTGTTTTGTTTTGTTTTTTTGTTTTTCTCCTTTAGCTGGGAGCACACGGGTACGCGTTCCTCCTCAACAACAACGGTTACATCCTGGCTCATCCTGACCTCCGACCTCTGGTGAGTTCGGTCTCTGGACCCCGGAATCCTCTCCAAAAACTCCATACAAAGAATTAGTCTTATAAACCTCTACTGGATCCAAACTATTTCCACCTACTATTGGACTAATATGAGCAATGCCTATAGAAATGTCTTAGATAAAACCTTTAAAGTTGTTTATCTTTTACAATACAAGATGGATGTGATGGATGCAAATGGGAGAATTGGGAAGGAACACATTTTTTTAGGGATCTACCAGATATCCTGGCCCATGATAACTGGGAACCATCTGGAATTAGCTGACAGGTAACCTATAATCGACTATTAATGAGCTCTCTGCCCAAAGCCACTTTCAGGAACAACATAATTTTGTCAAATGATCCATAGTTCGGAGATATCAAAGCCACCAAATCTGTTTGGAAAAGAACCAGCCTTTGTCAGGAGCATTTCAGAGCCCCTTTTTTTTTTTTTAATTTATTTATTTATTTTTTCAAAGTTTTCAGTAAACATTAATAACACAGAACAGTTCGACATAGAGAGCAGTTGGCAAAAAATGCAGCTTGTTGAAAGTAGCGATGAATCATGAACCATTTTGAAGCAGAGCACATTTTACCTTGTAGGAGTTCCATTTTGACCAAAGTTTGTGAAAAACGTCAAGTTTCAAGTGAATTTTTAAAAGTAATTTGTTCCATGTTGATTTCAATCCAGTTTGAAATCGTGGGGGCTGACTGTGTCATCCATTTCTTAGTTATGGCTTTTTTTTCCAGCAGCAAGCATTATGTTCCAAAGGTATTTATTTACTGTGTCCATTGCCGGTGTTTTCAGTTTTGTTTAAGGTACATGGTCCTGAAGTTGAGAGGGATGGTGACGTTATAAACAGTTTGCATTACATTGTTCATCTCTTCAGAGCCACTTTCAGTATTGTTTCACTAATGTGGCTGATCACAGAACTACACAATAATATGTCCCCTCATTTTATATAGTTATGTCTTATTATATGTATGTTGGATCCAACTCTAGCAAGACATTTGACAGTGAAACTTCTGGGATTATAGAACTGTATTGCTAAAAGAATGCACAAAAATGACATTTTGCTGTGTTGTAAACATCCAAAGAGACCAAAAGTAATTCCTACAGGTAGAAAACAGGATAGTTTAAAAGGGTTTTACTCCACAGACGTTCAGTAATGGAGGTTCATTTGTCTACAGTATAAGGACGGGAAAAAACTGAAGCCGAAGCCCAACTACAACAGCGTGGATCTGTCTGAGGTGGAGTGGGAAGACACAGACGAGATGGTAAAGAAAGACAGAATTTAAGAGTTTAAGAAGATTTAATGATCTCCATTTTCCGAACAGCCATTTTAAAATGGGAATCCAGACTTATTCTACTTGTAAAAGCAATATCTTGCTCTCTGTTTTGACAATATTCTGGTTGTAATAGCCTCCGTTTGCATTTTCTTTAATCAGAAACGTAATTAATCTTGCCAAAATCATAATAGTATCTTCCCTGTTTGCAGCTGAGGACGGCCATGGTGAAAGGAGAGACGGGCAGCATGACACTGAGCATCAGAGCATCTGTCGATAAAGGGGTAAAAGTCTAATAACACACACAGTTTTATCTGTGCCAAAAAAGGCTAATTTTTTCTTACAGCTTAGAGAGGAGCCAGTTTAGGTTGTATATATTATTTCTATAATGTACATATTTTTCTTATTTCTTTCTTTTTTTTTAGTTTTTATTATTTAGTTTTTGTTTTTTTCTGGCTTTTTTTGTTTTATTTGTTTACAAAATAGTTTGTTCATTTGATTTAGGGGTTGGGTTATTGTTATTATTATTATATGTATTTTATTAGATTAGTTTATTACCAGCATTACAAAAAAGGTCATTCAAATATGTGTTTAGGTTAAAAAAAAAATGGTATTAAACAACAGTTTATACAACACTTTGACACGTTTTTTTTTTAACTTTATCTAACAGAAACGCCCTCTGTATCTCATCAATGATTATTTCTACACAAACATTGATGAAACTCCCTTCAGGTAAACCCGCCGTCATCTATGCTTTCTATACAAAGTTTTTTCTTTTTTCTTTTTATCGGGGGTAGGGACCCTATTCCAGCTGCTATTGTGTGAGATTTAGAGTACACCACAAATAGTCATACTGGAAGTACATGATAAGGAATTGCAGTCCTTAAATGTTTCATTTCTTTTTTTCATTGCTAATGAACCTGAGTTGTATCATGACACAAATCACAATCCAGAAGTGGAGCTGTTGTTGTTTTGTCTCTAACTTTGTTTCCTCGTCTCTGTTCAGTTTCGGCATGGTGCTGACCAGAGGCCACGGGAGCCTGATGTTTTTGGGAAATGTATCCGTGGAAGAAGGTATAACTTTCAAATTAAAAATTAATGTTACAACCTGTGGAAGACGTTGAAATGTAATGTAATAAAAGTTTAATCGCACAACCTGTGGGGGCTCATTTTCAATGAATGAACTAATATTAAGGCACTTAACCGTGTTAGTTTAGGAACACAACAGCTTCTTAAACTAAAAAAGTCATTAAAATGAAGTCATTGTCTATATTTCCACTTTAACTGAATCGATATTTTTCCTTTCATTTGCAGGGTTGCATGACCTGACCTCCCCAGATCTCATGATCGCCTCTGAGTGGTAAAGCTGAAACTATTAACTGTTTTTTTGCTCAAATTCCATTTCCTATTACAAAGAAAAACACATAAGTAAAACTAAAAGTGTATAAATGACATGATAATGTCAGAAAGGAAGGAATTCCATATCATTTGTCATTCATCTTAAACAGTCAAGAAAAGTTTTTCCTCTATTTGTATCAAATTTTTAAGTTAATAACAAACTTTCAGTGATAGATTGTTCCTGTTAAAACAATGTGATAAATTTGATCTGTTCAGGACTTACTGTGAACTGGACATTGATCCCGATCATCGAAAATACACGCAGCTTCAAGCCGTCGTCGGCTACTTACAAGGGAAGGAGCCCGACCTCGAGTGTAGGTTTTTTTTTTAAATATAAATTGGTCTTTGTTATTGTATGAATTCATAAACTTTTGTTTAAAAATGACTTTAGTCATTCAATTTATTCAGTCAACTTAAATGTGGGTTTGAGTTGAACTTGATTTATTTAACTGATCTTCAGAATCAGAAATACTTTTATTTGGTTATTGGTTATTTATTACATTTATATTATATTTATCATATTTATTATATTCTTCTTTATTCCAGGTGATGAGGTGTTGCTACAGCAGATACTGTTTGACGCCGTGGTAACGGCTCCAGTCGAGGCCTACTGGAACGCCCTGATGCTTAACGATGGGTAAGCTGGGAATTAAAAAAAAAATGTATTGCTAATTTACAAAATACTACTGGGCTAATTAAGTCAATCCAGAAAAATAGATTTAGTACTTGTGAGGTGATTTTAAAGATGCCCTGACAGGATGAAAGTGCAGATTTGATTTTCTGTAGGTAAACGATGTCACAAAACAACCGACTTAAGCTTTGTAAAGAAGTCGTTTTGATCCTTTTTGTGTAATTGTTGTTATTGTGTGCAGGGTGGAGTCCGGGGTGGAAACGGCGTTCCTCGGCACTCGTTCTGGACTGATGCGGATAATGAGATACGCGGGAACAGAGACCAGGGTGGCAAAGTAAGAGTCAAATAAAAACATCACGCGTGTGCAGTTTTCCATTCAGAGAATACCTCCAACATGCAATCCTGTTGTGTCATGTTTTTGTGTAGAAGGATTTAGGACGTGATAGTTGTGTCTGAGTTTTTTACTGCAATAAATCTTGAACAAGTTCCTCACTTGTTAGTTACCTGGGAAAATAATCTCCTTAACAACTATAAAATATGTAGTAAAACCATCCAAAAAGTTCAAATTGCTTCCATTGGCAGACCAGGACTTTGTATTACCCCTTTTCCTGAATTTGTTTGTGTAGAGAGAAGCACATTAAGCACTTTGAGGTGACTAAATGATAAGAATTCTAGAATATCTACCATTTTATTTTATGTAAAGTGATTGCAAACGCATCGGTCTGCATTAATTTATAATAGCAATTGAATCGTATAAAGGATTCCAGTAAAAAAATGATAATAAACAAAAGAATACTGAAACATCCAGCAGCTGGATCACATCAGTTTGGACTGTTTTACAAAGATTTTTGTCTCAGTTGTTGTTGTTTTATCCACATTTCATTTAAACATTTTGGCAAAAACCTATAGATCTAAATGAAATGTTGCTCTGACAGGAAGTTCCTGACTCCGTCCGATAAGGATAACCTCTTCACCATCGATCACTTCCCCCTCTGGTACCGCTTGGCTGTGGAAAACACTCCAGGGAGATTTTTCTACTACCCCGTAAACGACAAAGGTATGTCGAGCTGTTAGTTTTTCTGGTGTTAGTCTTTCTGTATCTCTGGACGATTAAACTGGACTGAAAGTCTTTTGGTTTTATGCTGAGAAAAAGCTTTCCGTTGACAGGAGTGAAGTATATTATCGCCACCACCGCGGTGACCGTCTCGTCCAGAGGAAAGACGGCCATGGCTGGAGGTGAGTTTCACAGATCCAAGAAAAATAGGAAGAATATTGGATTTTTTTTTAGTCTGAAGTCTTTCTTTGGCCCCTCAACAACATATGAAGGAAAAAAAACAGAAATTATTTTGGTCAAATTAGCGTGCGATAAGTCAAAAATGTATTTTGGTGTAGTCTTCTACTGGCTGTTATCAGGTATATCTGAATGTGTTCAACAGGGGTTTGAGCAAAGCTTTTACCACTGAATGATGCAAAAAGTCTCAGATCCAAAAGATTTCAGAAACCGTACGTATCAAATATGATACATTTGGCATTATAGGGTTATACAGTGCAAACCCAAACATGCATAAAACACCAGTGTATCATCAGTGTATCGCATGTGTCTTACTGGTACAACTAACACAAAACTGGGTCTAACTCGGATTAGTCATTGTCAAAAACTAATTTAATTTTTTTTATAATGCAAATTTGATTGAGTTTCTTGTTTTTTAGAGCCAGTTTAACCATAGTTGTCAGCCATTCTTCATAAGGAAGAGGGTTCTTTTTCATCCAGTATCTTAGTAGGATCCTTTTTGCCGTAGTCCGAGCCAGAAAAAGCCACTTCTTGTCAAAAGGTGAGAAGTGTGAGTTTAGGAGTTCTACTGTGGAGCCTAAAACTGCCAGCTCAGCACTGATATTGAATCTTCTTTCCAGTACTTCGAAAATTACCTCCAGAATATTCTTCCACCAATCTTGAAGAGCAGGGCATGTCCAGAGAACATGTAGAATAGAGGCTCAAATTCCATTTATGAAGCTGTTGAGGGGTTCTGTGGCATCTGTGAATGATTTTTAATTGAATTAACTAAATCGGACTCATTTTTGATGTTCTTAAATATTACTGAACGGAACAATTGGAAATCTATTGATCAATAGATATTAAAACTTGCTCTTCTGATTATATGTACAATTTGGAAAGTAATGGCATCTTTGATAGTTTGATTTTAATCACTTTTAAACTCAGTAATTCTTAAGTCTAAAAGTCTTTTTGGTAACCATAAATGTAAATTACATTCTGCTTTGAAACAGTTTAGCCTCTAAAAGCAGAAGGTACAACTTCTCAGGATTTTGTTTGAAGAAAAATCATCCTACCTGAATAGGTTGTATCTAACACATGCTATCTGTATAACATATTATTCTGAATATTTTGGAATAACAGTGTTACATCATTAATGCAAACATATTATTATGTTTATTATTATTATAATATTATATATTATCATATGGGACATCTGTTGCTAAAGCTGGCACAGCTAAATAAACCAGAGAGCTTGTTGTTTTTGCGATGCTAACCCTTCTTAAAAAAAGTCATCAACATTTTTCAAGTTCAGATTTAGTCAAAAGTCGCCTCCTATGCATCTGAAAGACGTAGATGATATACTTGGTGCATCTGGATTATTTCTTTTGTAATTTATTTTGATGGAGGGATCCATTATTACGTGGACTGCTGTCATGTTTTGTCGACATCCCGTGCTGTAATACGGAGAGAAGAAAAACCGGAAATGTAGATAAATAGAGTTTATTATCTTCCGCATCACTGACAGTCTTTCAGTTGAATTTGAGTCCATACTCGATGTGCTTCCCAAAGAAAAACCTCAGACACACATTTGAAAATACAGCATGTTTGATGAGATGCTCTCACCTTCACACTTATCATCGTTTGCAACATTAGGAATATTTGTCTGAAAACCTTTCTTTTCTGAATTTGTGCTGGATTAGAAGCTTTTGTGGCTCAGAATCTGCCCTTTAGGTGGCAGTATAAGACCAGCTCAGATTGGATGCAGCTAGTCTTTTGTATCAAGCCACAGCTGTGTGTGAGACATGATCTAAGGTGTCTAAAATAACGATGAATTCAACGGGATATCGGATAGAGGAAAGAAAAGTTACTTAACCCATACACAAGATGAACACCGTTGATCGGGATAAAACGTTGTGCAACAAACTGTGAGAATCACAGAAACTTGTGCTTGTTACTTATACGTAAATGGAAAGACGGATAACCAAAACTCAAAGACGGTTCCGTATCTCTAAAGATGAAACAGAAATATGGATGGATGAGCTTCAAGGTGCAGAGGTGCCAAACAGGAACTTCAGACGGGGTTTAATAGCTGGCTGAGAGATGCAGTGCAGGGAATAACTATTCACAGAGCGCCCATACATTAACTCATTGGCTGCCAAAGACGTCTATAGACGTCTTTTATTTTTTTCAACGCGAGTGGCTTGGGGGACGATCCGCTATAGATTGTCCGTAAATATCAGGCTTCTAGACAGAGTATGTACTAACAAATCGACCCTCTAGGTGGCAGTGCCACTTTTGATGGGAGATAAGCATAGATTGTAGGCAAATAAGAAAAACAAAATGGTTTGCTATGCGAGAAATGGCGCCGGTGAGACGCAAGTCGAGGAAGAACGGGATAAGGTAGAAACATATTTTTTTTCCTGATGAAAGAAAAGAGTCTACTCTTTCTTTTGGTGTGTTCGGTGTTTACATAGTCATAGCACAAACTATTCTGTGGCTCTTGAAAAATCAGTCAAAATGCTCAAAAAACTCTCTGTTCTGAAAATGGCTGGCAGTCAATGAGTTAAAGTAGGAGCTGCAGCTGAATTTAGTCTGTTCCTGGCGGGGTAGGCGGGTAGTCATCTCAGAAGCTGCTGATTCGATAGCCATGCACAAAGTCGCACGCCTGTTTGGGCGCCTCCTCTTCCTCGGGCGTGCCCGGGGAGGACCCCGCCCCGTCCTCCGGGTCGGTCTCGGCCCCGGACTCGGCCATTAGGGGCTGTCCGCGGCTCTTCATCTCCTTCTGGTATCGCGCCATCAGCGATGCGTAGACGCAGCCGTAGGTGGCCGCCACCACCATCATGACGCACACGGTCCCGCACACCACGCCCGCCACGATCTGGGTGCCGTGCGCCCGCCGCACGCTAACCGGCCGGTAGCGCTGGCGCACGCATTCCTCCGCGCCATTGACGCGCTGACCAGGCGGGCAGGGAGGAGGCCGGGTGGATGGGTCTGACGAAGCCTCCCGGGCGGGAATCCGCAGGCAGTAGCTGAACATCTCGGCCGGGAGGCTGCGGATGTCCCTGCCCTTCAGGTCCCCCGGGAGACTGCACTGCATCACGTCCACCCGCCCGTCTGTAACCGGACAGAGAGGAGCCAGGAAAAGAGAAAAGAGACGCGAGAGAAAGAGAAGAAAGTGGCAGGATTGAGAAATGAAGAAATCGGTAGATAATTGACATCGTTCATTCCTCCTGTAAAGAGGGGATTCATTGCTACACCATCTCTGGTGTGGACTCAGAATTTTCTGTTTATACAAACAAATAAATCGGTAGATAATTGACGATGTCTTTGGTAGGCTTGTCAAAAGTATCGATACTCGAAAAAGTATCGATACTAAAATGTTGTATCCGGATACGATACTCATTTTCAAAAGTATCGATACCACCGCGCGCTGACCTGCCGTCGCTGCGCCCCTTCTCTCTGATTTATTTATGTATTTATTTACGTTGTTTATGAGCATTAACAAGACGTTAGCCTTGCTAGCTGCGGCTAATGGTTAACAATAACATGCTACCATTAATCAAGTACGTATCAAACTCCGCCCACATAGACATTCATTTTAAAATAGTTAAATGAATCTTTCAAACACTTAATTGAACTCTATACATAATAATATGTTAAATAGGTTTGTACAATAAGTCCAAACAAATTTAACCAAAAAATATTTATTTATCAGAATTTTAAAGGGTGGAGGGTTAGGATCAGGGTCATTCATTTCTGCCACCAGTCACGATAACATCAGTAACAGGTCAGTTTGAAATGAAAGACACAATTCAGTTAAATTTTGGGGTCTTTGTTTTTATCCTTGTGGTATCGAGTATCGAGTATTTTCCTGAGTATCGGTATCGAGTTGAAAATTTTAGTATCGTGACAACCCTAGTATTTGTCCATCGTTCATTCATCCTGTAAAGAGGAGACTAATCGCTACACCTTCTCAGGATTTTCCCGTTTATACAGATTATTTTAAATCCAAAGAAGCCCGCTCACCTCGGTAAATCATCCACTCTATCCAGTGTTTGAAGTCTCTCAGTTTGCAATCGCACTCCCAGGGGTTCCCCACCAACCGCAGCTCCTGGAGCCCCAGAAGGGGCTCGAAGGTGCCCCTGTCCAGGGCCGACAGCCGGTTTCCGGCCAGAGAGAGCCAGGCGAGACTCTGAAGTCCGTCCAGCAGACCCTGGGGCAGCAAAAGGAGGCCGTTGGAGGACAGGTCCAGGCACTGCAGCTGCCACAGCCCTTTGAAAACCTGCTTGCTCAGACCACTCTTCTGACTTCCGTTCAAGCCCTGGGCAAACGCCGAATTGTTGTTGTTGAGGTCGGATGTTGTGGTATGGATGCCGAGGTAATTCGAGGAGAGGTTTAGCCAACGGAGGCTGGCCAGTCCGAAGAAAGCCCCCGTTTCCAGGCTGTAGAGGCGGTTCAGGGAGAGGTCCAGCAGCTCCAGGTTACTCAGGTTGGACATCCCCGTCCTGCCCAGGGAGGAGATGTTGTTCCGGGACAGATGGAGGGCCACGGAGTCCTGGTCCACCAGCTCCAGGACGGGCGTCAGGGACAGGATCCCGGCGGAGGAGCAGTCGGTGGCGTTCCCGTGGCAGGAGCAGGCGCCGGGGCAACCGCCGGCCGACCCCAGGAGCCCCAGCAGAACCAGCACCAAGATGGCCGACGCCGCGCAGACTAGGAGGATAGCAAAAGCAAACACAAGAAACGCGACTCGTAAACGGCCAAAGCAAACATTACCACACACAGAGATATTTTATTCTTATTC